TAAAGGCACTACCGTGAGGGGCATCTTGCTGATTTCAACGTATGAGCGACTGTTGTGGTACCTCTGTGGTGTTTTGGCTCCTCGCGGGACGTAAGTGCCAGTCTGTAGAAAACGCCTCGACTTAAGCGCCCACCTCCCTCCTCCAGCGACTGCCACTTGGGGTGCTGCCCCGCCTGTCGTATGGTCATCGCCGCGGGCGGGTCAACGACGCGTCCTCCCCCAAACGCCTCCTCTCTCTTCCCCCCGCCACGCGCCCTCCCCCAATAGTGTGCTGCAGCCTAATGCTGCGTGGCAGGTAGCGTTCACCTGTCACCCACGCCATGGACGGGAAGACGCACCGACAAGGGCGACCCGTGCCGTTGGGCAAAAGCGGGACACCGTCAGATGCTAACGGCCGCCGTGTGCGCTGTACCCCCTCTTTACGCTTTCGCATAATAATAGTAACAATAATAATAATGAGACGGGGTGAGCGTGCGCCGCGGCGAGGGTGCGTGCTGCAAAAGTGGCCCTCCGTGGAGGACACGTCGGTTGTGCCGCCAGCGTCAACCCGGTTGGTGGTGCAGATGCCCCTTGTCCTCTGCCGCCTGCACCTCGTCCATTGCGTTGTCAACTGGTAGAAAGACAAAAAGGGGGAGAGGAGGAAGAGACATAATCAAATCCAGATGCGCGCGCAACACGGAAACACACACAAATACACACATGCATACATACAGGAGCCATTTTCACATTGCCGTCGCCCGATAGGTGTGCTCCTCGTTGCTGCCGTATACCACCGTGTGTGCTGCTGTTTGGGTGGGGAATGAGGCCCACTTCCTCCCCTCCCTCACAGACAAGACGCGTGCATCAGATGTTGCCGGACGGGAGACGAAAGAGCCACCTCAAGGGCACCAGCGTCACTGACGGGAGCACACACAATATCCCACGGCGGTTTGAAGAACAAAACAAGTTCCAACAGAAGGAACGAATAAAAACATACACAAAAACGCAGACATGTATACGCATGCGTACGTGAGCAAATATATCGGCGCCTGCGTGGCCCCCGATTTTGTCACCCGCACATAAGTGCACGGATACGCCTGCAACTAGGCTGCTACAACAGAACGAAAAAACAAAAACAAACAAAAAAAAAACACGA